CGTGCGATAACTCACGGTCCTTAATCTTTAAGCATCCTGTACTTCTGCTTAAGCTTTAATGTCCCTTTTTGGGTGCCCTGACAGCGATAAATAACGTCCGCAGACAGGCGGCGGGACGCGGGTACCCCGAAGAAATGGTTAAATTACGAAAAAAATATATATCCCTGTCCGCCGCACTCCCGATACCGATGGACGGACGGATGGATGGATGGATGGATGGACAGTAGCCGCGGCGCTGGTAAAAAAATCAATGACACCCTTCGCACGATATAAATGCGATTGCTTTCTTAGCCGATCGATCCTCGAGGCAGTGGTAGGTACTACCGGTGTGGTGTCTGACCGAAATCTCCCCGCGCGCGAGCACTCCCCCCCCCCCTTTCTCTCCTCTCCTCTCGCGCGCTCAACTAGACTAATTGCGAATTTCCGCGCTTTACCGGCAAGCTAATTAATTGGCTCACATTAATTACAGTTATACGAGAATAATTGCTTTCTTTTTAACGGGCTACGCTAGTGGCGCGCAATCGTGTCTCGGGTGTTCCTCCTTGCCTCGTATAATGCGCTCCTCGTCTCGCGCCCAGCCGCCTGCATCCTCGCGCGCGCTCCTCGTCCGGCCGGTACCGCCGCGCCGCCCACCATCGGCGACGTATACCTACGCGTGTTCTTAACGGTGAGTTTCAATTTCCTGGCCACGGGTCACCGCCCTTGCAGTTCCGGAAGAACGAAACCGGGACACGCTCAGCCTCCCGGGGAGCGCGCCCAGGAACAAATGAAATATGCAGAACGCTTCTACTTCGCGATCCACGGCCGACGGCGGCTGGTAGGCGGTAGATGCGCGCGGGGCGCGGGGCACGGACAGGAAGAGGAGGGGGGGGGTGGCGAGGGGGGAGGAGGGGTTAATTGCAAGGAAATACGATAAAGCAGACGGGAAGCGTTTCGTCGAGACGCTGGAAAATTTATACGAGACGTAGGGCACCAGTTTAAAGAGGCAGCCGCCTCCTCCTCGTCGGTGGCGTCTCTCGGTGGCGTCGGCCGACGCCGAAATAAACGAGAGCACAGGCCGCATACTTTACGAATTCCGATTGCGCCTCCCGGGAGCCACAAGGCTTCCCGCGGTCCCGCGTTATTCTTGGAAATGTCTTGGCATTTCATCCCGCGGCTGCTCCGACGTTGATAAGACCCGGAAATTGGTCTTATTGGCGCATACACAAGGACGATAGGCATTCAGTATTATCGTTGTTTGAATTTTCGTGCTCGAATATTGGCGTTCGTTATGACAATGTTTTCCTGTGACGAGCACCACGGCTTTACCTTCCGCGCGATAAATTGAAATTCTTTTTTCGCAGAACGTATACGTAATCTTAGTCTATGACATAAAATGATACAGAATTTTAATAAAACAATACGTATACCTAATTCTTTCCGATATTAATTATTTTTCGCAAATGAGCGAACAGATCAAATTATTCTCAAAATTCCATTCAATCTAATGTAACGTACACTTAGAGAAAAGTATTTGGTATTCTATATGACTAAAATTGCATGATAAAATAACTACAGAAGCTCCATTTTTGTAATTACTGCTATAATAATTAATTTATAACAATAATTATATTTAAAAATAAACGATTCAGACTCTGAAAATTAACATTTAAATAAAGATTATATTATATTTATTGTTTTCTACCAAATAAATATATAGTTGTTACCGAAAATAACTATATATTGTAGATAAATTATGATAATTGTAACCATTTTTTTTTTACATTTCATTGTAAATTATTTTTATTATTTGAAAGAATTTATGAAGATGTAACTTGCTAATCATAATCGCGTAAGTTATTTATAATGCTTATTTATAATTGCGTAAGTATTTATAATGCTGATCATAGAAATATTATAAATAATTACAAATGCTTGAAGAATTATGCGATAAGCAAATTGTTACAATTTGCAAGGCATTATATTAAATCGATGTATTGCAGAGTTAAAATTTGTGCAATTATAAAAATATTAACATTTAGATCTTCGATTTTCAATACGATTTTTTAAATTTTTGTCTCTAATTTTTTTCAAATAATTCCCTCTAAAAAGATGTTGCATTATACTGTGAAATTTTCATATCACTGACTTATCAACGTATCCTTTGAAGGCGCACTGGTCGAGAAAAATCGATACAAAAGCAATAAAAAATTCCGTGCAGCTTACCGTTAATAAGTTATCTTCATCCTGTTCTTTGTGACGGCCAGGCTCGATGCATGGTGATGGAGAATTGCCTCGTATTCGGCGTCTGCCGAAAAGTTGTCAATTTATATCCACACCGACATACCGCTGACGGGGGTCTGTGTGTGTGATTGCGAATTCGATGGAACTCGTCAAATCGGCCGATATCGCCGATTGAAATTAATATATTCTACGAATCAATCCCGCTTCCGATGTAAGCCCATACTCTATTGGAAGCCTATATGCCACTGTAACGCGGTAGAGAAACGTAATCCTCACCGCCACAGCGCTCCCCTCGCTCTCGGAAAATCGGAGCGTTCGCGCGCGCGCGAACCGGTGCAGCGGTAAGGGTCCGCGAGATAAAAGACGGCGCGGGATGAAGAATACTGCCGTATCGCGTTCCTTTCTTCCCGCGGGAGGCTCGTAAGTAAGAAAAATCTAGGCCGCCGGTTATGATTCAATTTCGGCGATATCGGCCCCTGAACGGATTAACACGTCCCAACCCCGTTATCGCTCGCGCGCGCGCGCACGTGTGCGCGCTCGCGACAGCCGCGCGGGAGATGAAAAAAACACCTGATTACAAAAGAATTTGCATTTTTATTACAGTGACGTACGTATATGTTACAGTACACAGGGGTGTAACGAGAACGCGCATACATCGTACACCTCGCGCCGCCGCCGATTTCGCCAATCCGCGCGAGATTTCGCTGATCTCCTTCCCACGGCCTCCGGGACCCTCCTCGCCCTCTCCGCGGCCGCTGCGCGAACGGCCGCGGGAAAAACGGGGAGAGCCCTTTCCCGCCGGCCGGTCCCCGGAACGATCCGGTAATGCGATAACGAACTGCCGTCGAACGCGCGTTCCGTCGAGCGCGAGCAGCTATATACATGTCGTTCGTATCTCGGCAGCGCTGCATTTCGTAACGATTTTGCATAACGAGCTCGCTGGACATCGTGTATATCGCCTCGAATAATCATTTCGTCGCCCTCGCAAATGCGCGGATAGAGAGAGGGAGGGACCCTCGCCGTCGGCATTAAAAATTTCTCTGCACTCGAAACGCGACATTTCGTTGCATTTGCGGCTTTAATACTCGACGCCGGTGATTATATCCACTCCCTCCCTCCCTCCCTCCCTCCCCCTTCCGATTATATTGACGATATCGAGCGAGTCGCCCAATCTGTCGATCTAAATCGAATCCCGAAAAAAAAAAACGCACCCATCTGCGCGCGTCATTCATTCCTAATGGAAAATGCGTTACATATCGGTCCAATATCGCGTATCGATACCGCGATAAAAGTTCTGATGGATCCGGCCTCGCGCTTGCCTCCTGGAAAATTCGGGGGGAAGGGAGGGAGGGGGGGATCGACGCGCCGATCGCTAATTCAACTACTATTTTGTTGTTTTCGCTATTTAAGAGATCGTCGGAAATTTTTTTTTTAACGATTTATAACCTCGGTGATATCGACATTCCTTAGCCACTGAAATACATTAGTTTCCCGATACGGTATGCACCTATATACAATCGTTTCACGTATATTTATAGATTTCTAAACACGATCCACAGAACGTCACCTTCTTCATCGCCGATTCTGCAACAATGGCTAGCGTTCAGACACGAATATTTGACCCAGAAGGGACGAAAATCTAAAACAGTTTCGTGTAATAATTTCATATTCTGACCTAACCTTGCGCGCATGTATTAATCTCTTCGTTTTATTAATCTCCTCTGCAAATGTCAGGAATATATTTTCTTTCTTTGCGGATAAACCCAGATATATCGTTCGTTCTCGCGTCGCAAGAATTTGTTCGCGTGCTGCGCAAAAACGTGCAATAAAAAAAAATTATTCGTATCTTGATGATTCGCTGTAAGGGATGTTTATTTGGTACCGGATGCTCTCGCATCTTATTCTCTACAGACTCACTCGCGCTGGAACGCTAACCGAATGTAGGATACATCTTCCTTTAAATTTACACCCTCTTTCTCCTCTTTTTTTTTTCTTTTTACAACTCTGTTACCCTCTCTCGTCGCCGGGAGGATCTGGAATCCGTCGTGCAATCGATCGCTCGCAGGGATGAGCAATTTTTGCCTCCCCCGTCCCGCCGCGCGCCGCCGCTCTGATGATCCCGCGGCGCGGCCCAATCGGAAATTGATGGTACCGTCGTACCGCGGGCGTTCACCGCAAAATGGCGCGCCATTTCGCGAGATCGGCGCGCGGGTGACGTTCTAAACCGCGCGGTTTGCCGTGCCATTAAGAAAACACAATAGCCACTTCGCACCCGTCCGATCTCATCCGCGAGCAGGACGGCAGCGCGCGCGCGGCGGCGGGCCGCGGCGGGGGTGATGCGTGATATATAACGCAGTGCGTTTAGTCGTAAATCGTTCGGCAAATGCGCGTCGTGTGTTACACGCGGAAGCAAAGGTCTATCTATACCGTCTGTTTCCCCGCGTTGCCCCGTTTACAACCGTTCGATCCTGCACGCGCGACCCTCGCGAGATCGTTGGCTTCGTACATTCCTCAAAATTTCATATTTCTTGAAAAAGACTGAGCGTTATCTTAAGCGTCGTCTACAAGGAGACTTAAGACTTAAGATTTGAGAAAATTGCCCAATCACGCTCGACTATTCTTCTCACGTGAGATGAATAATCGACTATGATTGGTCAATTTTCTTAAATCTTAAGTCTTAAGTCTCGACATTGTAGACGCCGCTTTTTACAGAGATGCGAGGAAGCCGCCGCCGCCGCCGCCACCGCCTCCTCCTCTTCTTTCAAAGCACACCGTTCGCCGTCCGCGAAATCGACCGATTTTTCGCGGATAAAATGACACTCATTACGTTCGGGACAGTTTCATGTACCTGCCCGAGATGTCGACATACTTTATGTTCTACGTATACCGCGCGGCTTTGGTCCGTCAGACCGCGCGTTATTGATTTTAAACGCTCCACGTTACTAATACGGCTAATACCTCGCGAAGATCCCGATCCAATAATAAAGACCTAAAAAGCAAAATCCGATAGCGGTTTGGTCGAATTTGTCGTAATTTTTTTCTTTAATTTTCTCAATCGCGAAGATGAAGAGTATCGATACCTCTCTCTCGTCTTGTTCAAAACTTATAAGATTTTTTCAGAGTACACGAGAACTGCAGGTGCGGCTCACATCGCTCGCACCATTATCGAAATCAATTTCCCCGTTCTTCTGTACAATTTTTTTACGAGACATTTCAATCCACTCGATCACGCTCGTCCGATACGATGCCACGTGAAGTGATTAAAGCTACTTGAAACCGAATTGTCAGACTCGTAGAAAATCCTTTATAAAATGCTCCGTTACCCTATAGTAAAAGATTCCCATTCGCCCGCGATTCCCATTCTCTCACGTAACGCATGCATACTCACTCGCTTGAACTCTTCGTTGCCGTTAACGCAGAGGCTGGCATGGCCTGCAGATATTTTGTTCTTTTTTGTTTTTGTTTTTGGTAGTGACGCTTCTCGAGAACGACGCTCTTTCGTCGAGCGTTTCGTCGAGTCAATTATAGCACTCCTCGGCGCGTATCACTTGAGCGCACAGCACTGCTAATTGCTGACAATTTATTAGTTTGTAAGACAGGTTTACACGGCGGTCGTGCCGAAAATTCGACAGAGTCGACATTGTCCGTTTGAGGCTCTCTGGCGCGGTGAACTCGAAACTTCCGCGAGTCGGGGAGACCTTCGAACTGGTTAGACACACTCGGGATCGCTCGCGATCCCCGCGTCTCACACGTTCGAAACCTCCACGAGTCGGGAGTTCCGCGGCTTTTCTCATACATTCAGCGTGGTGGAGTTGTTGATGAAGTTGGAGTGCTGACCGTCCTGGCTGGTCTGCCTGGTGGCGGTGTGGCCGGCCTCGCCGCTCTGTATGCTGAAGTGCCTGTACGATATGTACTCCGGCGGTATCGGCTGCTGCTCCCTCTTGACCGCCTCCCGCTGCTTCTTCACCTTGAGGTAACCCAAGACCGACACCAGCATCAGGAAGACGACGAAGCCCATGCAGCAGCCGACTATTAGACCCAGCCGCCTCGTCAGGAAGCTGCTGACACTGCCGACGTCGCCCATGGCCGAGCCGTCGCTGCTGATTATCGCGTCCGGCGCGTCCAGCGTCTTCACCTCGGTGCAACGGCTGGTCGCGGAGTCTGTCATCTGCGAGCTCGGCGTGGACGCGATTATCTCGACCAGCGTGAAATTGAGCTGCTCCATCGGCCCGTCCTCCATCCGCGACGTCATCCAATTGCCGAGGCCGAATACACAGATCAGGTAGCGGGTGTTCGGCGACAGCTTCGACAGTTTCACCGAGCGCGCGTTCGGCTCGAGTATTTTGGCACGTACCTGGAATTTAGAGCGATAAAAGTGACGCCGCATGTTCGAGGACTCTGAATAAATTTAGAAAAAAAAGTGGACGTATTAAATTATTCTCGTAAAAAAAATTCAATTTTTATATAATATATCTAAAATATATTCTGTATAGCTTCTTACTTTTATTTATTACTTATTTTATTTTTACTACTTAAGAAAGAAGCACATCAATGTTTCCTATAAAAAATATATTATAAAAAATATTCTTCTTTCCCGTCGTTGGAATAACGTGACGCAAAATTCTTCCTCGCGGGATAATGAACGCATATAGCGATTGCACGTGCGAACATACCGCCATTATACGATAATCACTAAAAATGGGTAAATTCGATTTCCTTCGGAGTGACGAAAATACTTAATCCGGGCGAAATGCCGCGCCGCTTTTTTGCACGTTCGCGCCGATCGATCAGCGAGGACGGTGTCGGATGTGACGACACGTTTTTGCGAAGGATGAGTTAGACACTCGTCGAGAGAAAAAGAGGAAGAGAGGGCAGCAAGGGATAGACAGCGAGGTTCTCCGCTATATCGATTGAATCAAACGCCGTTTACACTTTACATTTTACTCGCTCCGCCCGTTCGATTTTATACTCCGTGTTGTACCCGTCGATCGATTTTCAGCGACATCGCCACACGTGTGCTTACTACACACAATGTGTGTGTGTGTGTGTGAGAGAGAGAGAGAGAGAAAGAGAAAGAGAGAGTGTTTTCGGTACCTCGTCGACATTATCCAGAGCGTGATAGGCCACCTGGTAGCCGCGCAGGCCGGAATGATTCCTGCTCTGCCACGACACCAGAACGGAGAACGGCTGGATGTCCTGGATCGCCAGTTTCAGGACCAGGGGCGCGGTGCAGAAGGCGTGCGGGTCCAGATCCAGGAAGACCAGTCCGCGTAGCTCCGGCGGCTGGTCGCATCTCAGCAGCCCGCTGTCCACGTCGTTCATTCTCAGCCCGCGATTCCGGCTCATCCCGCCGCCGACCAGCTTCTGGTGGTCGCGCAGCCATTCCCAGAGCTCCTGGGACTCGCAGTCGCAGTGCAGCGGATTCTCTGCGCGGGATTTTAATGCCCGTGATTATGACTTACGAGCTGAGATATGAGAGTCTCGACGTTTATAGACCTTTATCGGCATTATTCGGTTTCGGTCGCCTTTGAAAAAAGTTTTTATCGCGCCGCGACCGTTCGGTCGCGGATCTCGCCACGAAGATCTCGCGAGTTACGGAATGAGCTATACTCGGAGCTCGGCTTGAATTCGCCGTGAGCGCTGCGACGTTTACGGTAACCTGAATTACCGCGGCGCTACATACAGCCGTTACCGCGCTGAATAGCACCCGTGATGTTTTGTAACGTTCGCTCGCGATTGTGTGTTCTGTGTTCATATCGTTCACTCGACGTCGAGGAGTTCCGGGAGTGTAACTACCCGGCGGGGCTATTTTCGACTGCGAGTCAAATTCGCTCGCATGCGAGCGCGGCGAAAGATACGCCGCGCCCGACGGTGAGTTTTGCATGCGACCAATCATCTCACCGCTGAGATTGCTATTGTCGAACATAACGCGATACGATCCGTGTGAATGGCGTCACGTGTGCTTATACGTAGCAATAGCAATATATCGTCGAAACGTAAAGAGAATTTTTTTTTTCCGTGCTAACTCGCAATAAACGACCGAATAACAGTCTTGAAACGTACAAATACTTTATACGAGAAATGATTGGCGGCTGTCAGAAATAAAAAGATGAAAATTGAAAAGAAAAATAGTCATTATTTAACAGGTAGAGTGTAATAAAAACACACGATTTTTTTATACTAGACGTTACACACTAGCGCACTACTTAGCTTTTTCTTTTTCGCAAAGAACGTATAAACTAATCAAGAATGTAAAATAATTGAAAAAAAAAACGTTACAAATTTATCAATTACGATAACCTGACATTAGTGAGCTGTTATAATTCGATCTTTGCGTTGATAGTTACTCTCGCAGCATGAAGTGAATCAAGCGAAAGAACATTGCGAAAAAGCGACAACAATAAAATCTGTTATAGTCTTTTTGAGAGTAAAATTACTTTTAAAATTGCTTTCGTAATTTCGTGTAAATCGTGTAAAAAATTGTGTTGAAGGTAAGTTCACATAAAACATAGTAAGACCAGACACAACGAATACAGTAATAAATCGTATAGTACTTACCCTCGGCCCGTAAACTCCGTATTTGCGTTTCGAGTGGTCGAAAGGCATTCAGCGGTAAGTTGGCTAAGTAGTTCCTACTTAGATCTAAAATCCTGAGCTTCTTCAGCGGCTTGAACGCGTCCGGCGAGATCAACGATATCCAGTTGCCGTAGAGGTGCAATTCGGCTAAATTCTCCAAATGCTGGAACGTGCCCTTTCCCACTTTGCTTATCTGATTGTACGAGAGATCGAGCACCTGCAAAGCTTTAAGGTCAGACGGGAAGTCCTCGAGCTCTTTCAAACGGTTGTGCGTGAGATTCAGCAGTCTGAGGTGTTCCAGCCCCTTGAGTCTCTCCTGCGGCAATAGCTCCAGATCATTGATACTGAGATCCAGCGTGAGCAAATTCGAGAGGCTGCGAAACGCGCTCGGCGACACTCTGGATATCATATTGCTGCCCATGAAGAGGTGCATCAGCGCGGGGAACGCCTCGAAGTCTTGGCTGGTAACTATCGTCAAGTTCGTCCCGGAGATGTGAATTTCCTGAAGAGCCGGATACCTCGCCTCTGAGCTGATCTCGTGTATTCTCACGAGGGGATTAGCCGTGACGTTCAGCCAGGCTAGGCCGGGTATATTTTGCGCCGTGAGTGCCACGGCGGGTATTTGCCGGAACTTATTAGCCGCGAGCTCGACCTTTCGCAGCATATTCGAGCGGGCGAAGAAATTCGCCGGAAGAGCCGTTAAGTGATTGTGACTCAGATCCACGGATATCAGGCGGGAGAAATTGACGGAGGCGAAGCCGGTGAGAGAGGCGATGTTGTTGCCGCGTAGGTCGAGCTCCCGCAGACTGATCAGTCCGTTCAGCCGTGCCATATCTGCGCGGTGTAGAAGGTTGTTGGCCAGAGAGAGGAATTCCACCGTGGTGGCGTTCGTGAACACGTCGTACGGGATCTCTTGGAACCTGTTGCCGTCGAGCTTGATCTCCTTGAGCGCCTCCAGACCCAGGAACAGCGTCGCCGGCAATACCCTGAGTAAATTGTTGCTGAGCAATAGCTTTCCCAGATTCTTATTCTTCGAGAATATATCGGCCGGCATCCTGTAGATTTGCGACGAGTCCATCGCGAGATGCTGAAGAGACGGCAAGCCGTCCAGGGAGTTTGCGTTGATCTGACTGAAGTTGTTGTACGATATTCTCAAGACCCTTAATCCCGGTATGTCTAGGCGGTCCAACGCCGTGGCAGTGAAGTGATTGTGCTCGAGATTCAGCTCGTAGAGATTGTTCAGTCCGCGGAAGGCACCGTTCTCGATCACGCTGACGGTGCAATTCTTCAGGTTGAGCGTCCTGATCGGCAGGCCCTCCTGGAAGATCTTGTCGTGCAGCACGTTCAGGTGATTGTTGGCAAGATCGAGGATGCGCAGTCTTTTGAGGGCCGTCAAGGCGTAAGGATCTAAACGGCGTAGACCGTTATCCTGCAGATAGAGCTCCTCCAGCTCGTGGAGCTCCGAGAAGGTCTTCACGGTCACGTGGCTCAGTCGGTTCATACTGAGCTCCAGGAACTTGAGCGCCTGCATCGGCTTGAAGGCGGTGTCCTCTATTCGCGAGATAGAATTATTCGTGAGATACAGACGTTCGACCAGCAACAGGTCCCGGAACAATGGAGCTTGCAGACGAGTCAGCCTATTATGTCCGAGCCACATGATCCTGACCGAGGCCTGACCTCTTAATGAGTCATTGTGTAGGACGCCGAGTCCATTGTTATCCAGCTGAATGGAAACCAAGGAGCTACCGCTGTTTTCGCTTTGGCCGACGTCGTTCGACACTTGGAACACATCGCCGAGCACCGCCAGGAGGTTGCCCTGCAGATTCACGTGTTGCAGACTGTGCAGGGATCGCAGCGCGCCGGTCTCCATGTCCGTGATGGCGTTGTTTTGCAGATGCAGCTCGAGGAGCGACGGTAACGGGGCGAACACGCCGCGTTTCACCTCGGTGATCTGATTATCCTGCAGCCGGAGCTCGCGCAGCTGCTTCGCCCTGGCAAACGTGCCCACTTCGAGTTCGCGGATGTTATTACCGTCCAACGACAGGGTCGAGAGATTCTCGCAGTGCTCGAGAAAATCACGCGGCACCTTCTCGATGTAATTTCCGCTCAGATGTAGCTGCGCTAATTGACCGAGCGTCGCCAGGCCGCGCGCATCGATCCTTCTGATGGCGTTCTGCTGGAGGTACACGACCGAGAGGCTCGTGCTGCCGGCGAACGTTTCCGCCGGTATTTCGAGAATGTTATTCTCCGCCAGGAAGAGCTCCTTCAACTCAGGCAGCCTCGAGAACACGCCTCGGATATAGTGTATGTGATTGTGGCTGAGATCGATCGACCTAAGCTTTTGATTGGCACGGAAGGTGGCCACGTCAAGAAACACGATCTTGTTGTGGCTGAGGTCTATCGACTCGAGATCGATCAACGATATAAAGGCATCCTTGTCGACCGACTCGACCGCGTTGTAATAAAGCGAGAGGGTCTTTAGGGACGGACAGCAGCGAAAGCAATTGAGCGGGATGTCCTTGAAATTGTTGCTACTGAGATCGAGGAAGTTTAAGGCCTTCAGCCTGGAATAGCCGTCCTCCGGGAGCTGCGATATCTCGTTCCAAGCGAGCCTCAAGGACGTGAGATGTTCTAATCTTCTTAAGGACGTCATGGGGAATACTCTGATCTTGTTCTCCGCCAGATCCAGATCCTTTAAAGTTTCCTCGAGCCCGGCAAAGGCGTACTCCGAAATTTTACTGATTTGATTACCCTTCAGGTTCAGTTTAATTAACGCGAGCCCAAAGAAACTGAAGCTGAGCAGCTCGTAAACGAGGTTGGCCTCCAGGTCCAGCGCTTTGAGTAGGCTCAGCGAGGCCATAGCCTTTTGAGGTACGTGAGGTAGTCGACCGGATACGAGTGCCAGGGATTCCAGGCTTTTACTGAGTCGCGTAAAAGCATCCTCGCTTATTTCGCGGATCGCGGAATGCGATATTTGCAGATGCCTAATTTGCGAGCCCGCCGGGAAAGCGGCGGACCGAAGTTCCTCTACTTTCCGATCCAATTCGTACACGCTCAATGATTGAACGAGCGCTCCTGGAACAATCAGACGAGAGATATTTCACTCAAAGCCATTGACATGCTTTGCGCAAATTACAATTGCGCGAGATGCAAAGTTAAACATTTTTCTCATTTATTTTTTATCGGACACGTGTACAATCATTTCATCGAATGTCGATAAATACAAATGAAAGGACGAACCACGGCGTCAATAAATATAGCACGCAGTGAGAAAAGTTTTACCGTTAAAAAACGAGAAATCTGCGAAATATAAGAGGTAACGCGAAATCTAAATAAATAGTGTGTATCGGAAGTTTTTCTTGAAATTTTATAGAAACATTAGGGATGAAACAGAAATAAGTATTAATCATAAATTGCGATGTCTTTCTAAATGTAACCTAGGATGTAAAATATCTTCTGCGAGAAAAAGAAAAGTATTTTTACAAGAGAAATATTTCAGAAATACAGTTGCGTTAAGATATCTTAGAGTTTGGATGTCAATCCGCTTGACATTTGAAAAACCGAAAGCCAAGAGAATGAAAAAAAAGGAGAAGCGAGATCTAAAAATACCTACAGCTTATTAACTATTTGCAGAGATACCAGAACGGTCTCTCGGGCTTTTCCTTTTTCATTTTTTCATTTTATTTTACGCCACAGCTGTTCCCGCCAGTATGACGTTACCGCACCGTTTTACGGTACATATTGCTATACAGTTGGCTGTTTTTCTACTTATGTATGCGAGCGGAATAACGACGTGCTCTCCCCGCTGATCCCCCACACGCTTTTTGCGTGTTGTATCGTGGATGGTTTACCTTCCTCGCCGGCGGCATGTATCACGCCGGACAAAGCGTTCCTGAGGGACTCCTCGGTGGCACCTGCGCACTCCAGGAACAGACCGCCGTTCTCGAAGTTGTAACACGGGCAGCCGGGTATTGTGTCCGGTGGCGGACACTTGGCGCCCCTCGCCTCCTGCGTCGCCATGCACGCCGCCAGGATCACCGAGTAGATGATGCGGAAACCGTCCCGACGGCGGTTCCACCGATTGTCACGTTCTCTGCACGACGGGGCCGACGGTTGCCGCCACTTTCGCCTGGTCCGTGGCCGAGTCGTCCACATATTATTATTATCGCACCGCTTCTTCGTTCCCGGCGCGTCCCGACTCGTTCATCGTTTCTCGCGCCGACACTCGGGATTTTCGCACTGCCGCGGGTTTCTGCGAACAATGAGAAACATCGCCGGGACGTGAAATTGGACGGAACGTGAAACACGTGGATGGACGGGGGGGCGTTACGCTACCGTCTTCGCGAGTATCCACGGTCGGATACGTCGTTCAAATATAAAGACTCTCGAGATAAATGTTCAGGAGTGGGCCAGAAATGCCCGACGGGTTGAACGATACCATTTTTATCGGATTCTCCGTGCAGGACATTTATGTGAGACTTCAGATTTAAACTATATGGGATTTAATGTCGAGATATTCCGTACGATTCTTGATAGCGATCTTATAAATTAGATATCTAATTATATATAAGAATACAGAAGAAGGAAGTTTCGTGAAAGGAAGTTTTATATACGTTTTATCGCTCGATACGTTTTTGTCTCTTAAAGGAAGTTTTATATACATTTTATCGCTCGATACGATTTTTGTCTCTTAACGGCTTTTATATTAATCGTAGATATATTAACTTGTATCTCCAATATTTGAAAATCTATAATTTTCCAACCACGTCAAGTGACTTACTTAACCGCGTTTCCCGTTGTTGAAAAACTATAATATTTAAATTGTTTTTCTTTCAGAAGAAGTCGTTATTTTTAATTCGCTAAGTACAACGTTCAGATTTATCTTTTTCTCCTGGTCTTCTGGTAACAAAAGGTCGCGAATCACGGCTCCGCGTGTTTTTCCCTCACATCAGAAATTGCGGTTTGCTTGCCTCTTGCCTATGCTTTCGGATCGTCTACAGAAAAATATGGTTATCCTGTTTTCGACGAACCACGAAACACAAATACTTTCTAGACGGACTTCAATTTTCAGCAGGACAAGGTTGGATCCCGCGGGAGCGAAAAGCCGACGGGTAACGTCCTTAAAAAGGAGGGAAAAAAAAAAGGAAAATATAAGAGAGAGAAAGAAGTCAACAGCGTCGTTGGTCACTGGTCTCCTTGGTCTCTCGGTGTGTCTCGTTCAAAAGATACCGATCCCGAGAAGATCAGCCGACCGACGGTCGTAATTTAATGCCCGCGGTAAATCACCGTGGCTCGGGGATGCTGTCACATACCCGCGTGACCCGTTACGATCGGAAAAATATGACCGGATTGGGCGGTTGCCAGATGGTGTCTTAAGACGGCGGCGCCCGGGGTCGTGGACGCGGGGTCGGTCGCCGCGAGGGGGGAGGGTCACGTGTGCGGGGACACGATCGAGAATACGAAGTGGTAAATGGGCGCCGATTTCCGTTGTGCTACACCGTGTACGGCACGTCATTCTTCGGATAACTTTGTTAGGGCCGCGCTTGCAAGCCGGGGGGGAGGGGGGGGGGTAATGTTAGGTCATTGGCTGCAGCGCCGGAGTAGAAAAATCAATATGCCCTCGCGACTCCTACGCCAGGGGATTTTATTTTTTAATCCGCTCGCGCTTATCGCTGTTCCTGCTTAGACCCTTCTCCCTCTCTTATCCTCCCTTCCCTCCCCTCGTCCCACCGTGAAATTCCGTATTCCAAAGTGACCGTTCAGATATTGAGATATTCTCTCGTTCGCATCCCTATTAATTAATTCGCTAAATTTTCACGAGAGATACGCAATTCATTATTTCTGCTGGAATTAAGGCAGTTAATTAAATTTTATCCTAATTAGGTGACAGACTAATTATGTAGTTTAAATTACACGGTTGAATTATATTAAGCTGCATCTAGTTCCCGATTGTAAAAAAAAAAAAAAATTGAAAAAGGAACGAGAAAGCAATAAAATTGTAAAATATCGTTTGATTTAAGTAAGAATATATTATGTTGTGCGACACGTTAAAACTTTAACGTTACTCATAGTGTTATTATGATTGACGTGTAATAAAAGAAATAAATAAATATACATATAGGACTGCGATATTGTACTATAAGTTTGCGATTTGATTCTTAAAGTAACACAGGACTTTGCAAACGCGTTATATAAATATGAATTTAATTTTGAACTTTTATAAAAGCAACACTATAATATATAAGAATTATATGATCGTAATCGGTAAATCGTTGAACGTTTCTTAATTTTTTCATGGCGCATTTTATTTTTGAATCTGTTTACAATACATAATTCTATAATTATTTGAAGTCAGACGATATAACATGCGTCACACTTAAGTGAGAGTCAATTTATGGAACTTATTTTAGATTTTAAATTTTAAAGAAACGTATCATGACGTTCGCGACACTCTGCAGACGTATAATGACAGTACTGTCGATTGTGATAAAGACGGTGAAATATGTCTCGTTACGCGGGAAGTAGACACGGAGTTCAGTCATACGTTACTCGAATCTCTAATTTATGATAACTAGCGATAGAGAGAGAGAGAGAGAGAGAGAGAGAGAGAGAGAGAGAGAGAGAGAGAGAGAGAGAGAGAGAGAGAGCAAATCTTAGCTATCTACGGATCTACGCTAAAGCTGTATCGAAGCCGCGACATTTCGGTAATGGATTGGTATAACGTCTGTTACGCGTGCTTCTCGAGTTGATATTATCGAGTATATATTTTGGCATCATCGCGAGTTGAAAAGTTTTAGTTTTGTACATTATCTGCAATATTTACTACATAAAGAAACGAGACTAAAAAACTTTATTATCCTGAAGGAAAAAATTATAATTAATCTGTGATTAAACCAGATTTATATTTAATTTCTTTAACTCTCAGATAAATTTTCTTCATGATTTTAAAAGAGAAGAGATAAACATCACATTGCACGTTTCAGTTCTTATGTTATTTAAAAACTATGCGTAATATTATTTAGAAAACAGCTAAATACGACATTATATATCGAATCAGTAAAATAATAAAATCTCTCTCGATTTATAAATTAATCGATCGTCTTCTTTTGTGCTCTTTTTGACAGCCATGCGTTATCTCTTCGTTGTTTTCTTTTTATTGTCTGAAGGATTAGTGACATCAAATACATATATGTATGTACATTCGTGTTCGCGCAACTACATTTTGAATGCGGGTTTACATGTAAAAGGAGGCTCGAGAAGAGTACAGGAATGGGTCGTAGAGGATGAGAATAATCGTGGAAGAAGGAGAGAGAGAGAGAGAGAGAGAGAGAGAGAGAGAGAGAGAGAGAGAGAGAGAGATAACAAAAGCATGAAATGAAATGCTTGCGTTGCCGCCGCTTCGAAAGTAGGTGAGCTTACGTACCATTATAAATTCCAAGAGGTACGCATATCTTTGTAATATATTGGATCGAATCGTAAGGTCGAACTTTGTCGTTTGCAAGCATGAAAGTTGTTCGGCGCCGTAACTTCCGGGAGTTCCTGCCCGTTGCTCTTGTTTCCGAACCGAGAAATCTTCCGTGTACCTATACTCGACGTTTTACTCCCGTAGGACTTGGCGCAATATTTGCATAGCGTTACGTAATGCCGCGGCATTCGGCAGGTTTGTGAATCTACTGGAAACGAAGTGCAATCACTTCCCTTCCCTTCCCCCGCTCGTGTCACACATTAAAAATACATATTTTTGTTAATATAACGTAGCCAACTTTGTTTGTTAACTTTTCATTACAATTTAGCTTTATTAACGTCAGGCAAAAGCTTCCATATATGTATGTATGTATATTCATATTCTATTTATATCTTAAAAATATTTATTATGTGTTGGACTCATAGAAGAGTATAATCAGACAAATCTAGTTCTTGAGATTCATATATCGAATTAATGCTGACATTTTTTGACGTGACTGCTTTCGTTAGTCAACTTGATTCGCCTGCGCTAAATTATAAGACGGCGATAAATAAAATACAGCTAACTGTATTTTGAATAATTAAATTTATAATGGAAAATGAAAAAGTTGATTAAAGCTAAATTTGAATAATTGAAGATTTGAATAAATGAAAGGTATATAATAAGATATTTACAGAGTTTAAAAGCTGACTCGTTATATAATAAACTTATTATTATTGTTATATGCCATCAATATCATGGAAAAAACGATTTTGCTGGAAGGTTAAAATTGGATCTGAAAATAATTTTGTTACACGGAAATCAAAATAATTTTGTTGGAAACTCAAAAATGATTAAGCATTGCTATAAAATATTTTGATAATTTAGCAAATCAGTTTAACTTTCCAACAAAATTATTTTGATTTCCGTGCAACAAAATTATTTTCAGATCCAATTTTGATTTTCCAGCAAAATCGTTCCTTTTGTATACCTATATCTTCAAAATACAAAAATAAATTACTCTTTGCATCAAATCTGAAGAGTTGACTGATTTATACAGTCTCTGATTGATTTACAAAAAAAAAGCTAAAAATGCATTAAGAATTCAATATAGATATAGATTTGTAATCTCATTTCAAACTTTCTAATCGCTTCTAAATTTGTTAAATAATTTCCGGAAACAATCAATAGGAGTTGCACGAATTCGCATCGTGATCACGTAATTAAAAATCTCTCAGTTCAATTGTGCCGAATTTTCGAGGGGGAATTCGTATTCGACGTTTCACTTGCGTATCCCGACGCTCTTTCCCATCGAAAGTTTCCCGGGAGTGCCCATGTCGACCAGACATTCCTGTCGATGTCGTTTGTGTCGTTCGTGTCGTTCTCGCGCGCGATTAACTATCGAACGCCCCGAGCGTTCGAGAAGCGAGCCCGGCCGCGCCGTCCGGAATCCCGCCGCGTTACGTTCGAACGGATTCCGCTTTCGGCGGGATACACCGAGAGTCGATCGGCGTATCCGAGAGTCGGCCTGACTCTCCGGTCGGAAACGTTCTGGTCCATTACCGCCGTAGCGAAATTGAATTTCCTCGGGATGGCGGCGCGGCTTGACGCTGCCGCCGCGCAAGCTCGGATTAAATCGTTGCGGCCGCCGAGCAAACCGCGGCCACTAATGAAGCGTACCGCGTTGAATTTAAAAGATTCCCCCTTGCCTTCCCCCCCCCTCTCCTCGCGCGACGCGCGAGGTCGGAGACCACGAGGATTCGCGTCCTC